TTTTTTTTAGTTTGTATTTGCTAATCTCTTTATTGAAAAATTTTATTGTGGACTAGTTAGTTGGGGGAAAATTGTCATTTTTTTTTTCTTTAATTCATTTAGTTTCTCCTGCATATTAGACACTGACCTAGCCCTTGGAGTTACAGAGATGACTGATTTTGAGGAGTCACTAAGGGAATTGATACAAAGGTGATGGTATGCCTTCATGCAATATTATAGACCATTTAATTCAAGTATTATTAAAAATAACTTATGATTATAAGAAGCTGTGAATTTTTATGAGAAATATAAATTATAGATGAGCATAAAGAATATGAGTATTCCATCCTAGCCCGTTTGGCTCAGCGGTTAGAGTGTCGGCCCGGGGACCAAAGAATCGCTGGTTCAGTTCAGATCAAGGGCACGTACCTTGGTTATGGTTGGTCCCTGGCTCTGGTCCAGGTCATGCAGGAGGCAACCAGTCAATGTATCTCTTTCACATCGATGTTTCTCTCTTTCTCTCTCCTCCTCCCTCCCTCCACTCTGTCTGAAAATAAATGGGAAATATCCTCGGGTAAGGATTTAAAAAAAAAAAGAATATGAATATTCCAAATTTGTCACCTACTTTCAGTATCTTGTCGACATACATATATGTCGACATTTGCATAACATATATATTTTTTTTCATTATTATTTTCATCTAATAGTATACTGTGACTATTTTTCCAAATTAATAAATATTTAGCTATAGGATTACTTTTGATGGCCAAATGGTATTTCATTATATTGGAGATATTATGATTTATTAACTGCTCACCTATTGTTGAAAATTTGAGCTAAAATTGACATGGCTAAATCTTAGTAAGTATCCTTAATAACCTCTATAGAATACTTTTTAGAAGACTTAGGTTACTGAGTATGTACATTATGTAAACACTTTATTGAATATATAATATACACTTACAAAACAGAGGAGTACACAAAAATGACAGAAACAGAAAAGTGCACAAAGAAGTATAATGTGATAAAATTGCCCCAAGTGAATTCCCACCATGTACCCAGCACTCAGCTTAAAAAGCAGAATATTACCTGCAAACCAGGAGCCCACCATGAACCACTTTCTGTTTCTATCCCTGTGTAAGGATAAATACTATACTGACTTACTACACTATAAGTTTTGCTGTTTTTGAATATTCTATATTTAAACAGAATTAGTAGTGTGTACTATTTTATGTCTGACATCTTTCTAATACAAATGTTTTATCTTTTAATATGTATTGCTAAGTTCCCTCTAGAAAGGTTATTTCAGTTTATTTTCCCACCCACGAGTGCCACGTTTCCCACTGAATTGTGGACATTATTATTTAAAAAATGATTTCCCCTATATGATAGAGGAGAATAGTATCTGTTTGTTTTAACTTACTCATTTTCTTTAAGTAGGCCAAACAACTTTTTTAACATGCTTAAATCATTTGATTTTTTTAAATTTCCTTTGTCTTTTTTAAAAAATTTGTGACATATTATTTTCTTACTAACTTGTAGAAGTTTAATGTACAAATAACAAGTGCCCCTTGTTTTATATATATTTCAAATATGCTCAAATTTGTTGCCTTATAATTTTGATATTAAAGTTTTAAATTTCCCTCATATTAAGTCTTCCTGTGTGAGGCATTTAAAAATTCTTCTTCAGTTCCAAATTTTATAAATACTTGTATGTGTTGGTGGGATTTCACTCTTCCTCCCTCTTACCTCTGCACTGATCTTTATGATTACATGTGGATTCATTGATACTCCACCAGATGATGTTAAAATTTTATCTTAAACAATCATAAGTATTGTGAAAGAATTCAGAGGGAAAAGGTAAACTTTTTATAAAACCCAACTATTTATCATTCCTGTTGTCTTTTTATTATTTTTGATATTTCCATTTTCCTTCTATTATGGCCCATCAGCCTGAAGGGCTTCCTGTAAAGGTTTCTTCTAAAAAGTCTGAGTTATTTTTGTTTCCTTCACTTGAAAATGTCTTTATTTTTGCTGGATATAGAAATTTAAAAGGTTTTTTTCCTTCTCCAGTAGCTTTTTCTTTTCCAGCATGACCTCCAAGGACATGTATGTTAGATTTATAGGTCCTTGAGGCTGTGCATTTTGTTTCAATCTTTTCCCCTTGGTTTTTCAGATTATGTAATTTCTGTTGATCTGTCTTCAAATTCACTGTTTTTTTTTTATTTTGTTTTGTTTTTCTCTCTGTCATCTCCATTCTGCAATTCAGTCCAGGGAGTTCTTTTGTTTCAATTACTGTATTTTTCAGTTCTAAATATTATGTGTGGTTCTTTTTTTTATATATAGTTTCTATTTTTTCTACTAAGATTTTCTGTCTTCTGATTTGTGTCAATATGTTTTCTATTACCTCATTCAAGTATAGTTATTGCTGCTTTAAAGTCTTTGATGGTCCTAGCATCTGGGTCATCTCAGAGTTGGTATCTCTTGATTATCTTTTCTCTTGAAGAGTTGGTTAAATTTTCCTGGTTCTTTGTATGTTGAGTAATTTTGTATTGTATTGTATATATTGTACGTGCTGTGTTGTATGGGTTCTTAGTAATGTTATAATTGTCTGGAGAATGTTCTTGTTTGGTGTTAGCATGCAGTCAACCCAGTTAAAGTCAAAATATAAGTTCTGTCAACAGCATCTGGGCAGACAGTGGTTCAAATCTGAGTTGTTCTCTAAGCATTCGTTATACTGCTTTGGGTCTCTCTTGCATATCTGCACTAAGGAATTAGTCTGAGACTTACACAGTTTTGTTTTGTTTTGTTTCAAATCTTAGTTTAATTCTCTAAATCTTTACCTGTTGGTTTGGGTTTTTCCCACACAAGTTTTTTCAGGGGTTAATCCTGGGACTTGTGCCAGTGATTCAGGTGATTCAGGTTTTAGATCAATTCTCTCAGCTTTTGTTATATTGGTTTGGATCTCACCTGAGCTATGTAGCTCCAGGGATAGGCTGAGACTTCTGCAGCTTTATACATAGTATTAGGGGATCCTCTGCAATAGCTCTTTCTTCCCCATATTTGTTCTACACTCCATTTTTTTCACAGTTGAAAATTATTAGTTCCATTCAACTTTATTCATTTATTTCATAAAGTGCACTATGTAATGAGGCTAGCTATATTTAAGGAACTGAAGACTAAAAAACTTAATTTAAAATTTATTGAGCCCTAGCTGATTTTGCTCAGTGGTTAGAGCGTCGGCCCATGGACCAGAGCATTCCAGGTTCGGTTCCCGCTATAAGGGCACATACGTCGGTTGCAGTTTGTCCCTGGCCCCATTGGGGTTGTGCGGGTGGCAACCAGTTGATGTGTCTCTGATGTGTCTCTCTCACATTGATGTTTCTCTCTTTTTCTCCCCCCCACCCCTGGTCCGCTCTATCTGAAGATAAATGCAAAAAAAAGTTTATTGAGAACCTGCTGTATAAGAGAATTATGCTTGGTAAAGGGCATAAAAATAGAAATTCCTTATGGACTTTGCTTATAAATAAATTGCAGTCTGATAGGGCAAACTAACTAAAGCATGGTATGATAAGTACTGTAATAAAATTGTGTATCATAGCACATTCACTCAGCAAATATTAATTGTGTGCCCAGGCACTGCTCTGCGTGAACAAGATAGACATACAGGAATAAATCTGAGAAAACTGTTAATCAGCAGAGAGTATCAGGAAATCAACTGAAAAAAAGAAAGGATATATTTTAGAAATGTTCTCATTAGCTACATGGTTTTCTGTAATAATCTGTAGCTGAGTACTATGTTGCTTTATAATTCCATTTGACAGAATTATAAATAGTATTTCGATTTTCTCTTGGTGTCTAAAGTATAATGAACCTGAAGGTTAAATATTGAGTTTGGTTTGGATTCAATGCATATTAACCCTACAGATCAATAGAACTTCACATTCTCAACAAAAGCAGCAGTGTCCTGTTTTTAACACTTTTATAAGCTTTATTTAATGCCAGTTTTAAAAATAGACTAAGTCAAGCTAATCCCATTAGGGAAAGAGAAGGGAATGGTATCATTTAAACTTGAAACAAAAATAAATGAAAAATATATGTTCATCTGAATATGTTAATTTCTTTTAGAGGCCCTTTTGTACTATCATAGTAAGCCTTAGAGTTACTTTAGAGTTTCTTTTTCTTTTAGTTCTTTATTTTTATTGAGCTATAATTGACATATAAAATTATATTAGTTTCAGATGTACAGTATAATTATTCAATATTCATATATGTTGCAAAATGATCACCATAATAAATCTAATTAAGATTTCTGTTTTGGATATTTACTTAAACATAGGTTTTATTTGAGTACTATTGCTCTATTTTATTTTTAGGAAAAAAGTATTTAAATATTCCATTGATCTCATTGCAAAAATATTCATAGTATTTGCTTTAAAATTGGTTGCACAATATCAGAAGAAATTCAATGAGCTGTCTTTGTATAAGAGTATGTTTTAGTTATGTATTGCTGTGTAACATACCACCCCAAAACTTAATGTCTTGAAGTCATAATCATTTAGATTTATTTGTTTATGATTCTGCTATCTGGCTAGACCTGTCTGCTAGTTTTTCTGCTGGTCTCTCCTGGGGTCTCTTGTGCTGCTGCAGTTGTCTGGAGGCTTGACGAGAGCGGAGGGTCCACCTCAAATGGCAGCATCTCAGTGGCCGAGCCCCTCTCTCTCCTTATAGTCTCTCGCCTTTCAGTAGTCTGCCATGATCATTTCTCTCATAAAACACATTGATTATTTGATTAGCCTCGTTAACCTTATTATGTTGTTTCTATGGAGAAAAGCCAAATTATATTACTTTATTTTTACTTACAACATCTTTTTCAGGAAAAATGGTGACCTGCCATAAGTTTAAGAGGTAGCTGGTCTTTGAAATGTTTTCTTATTTGCCATGTTTTGAAAGACTGAATAATAAGTTATGTTATATAGTTAGTTAAATTATTTATTTTCTTCTTTTAAAAAAACAAACAGGCAATTGCTGGCTACTTTGATATATATTTTGAGAAGAATTGTCACAAGCGGGTAAGTATTATGAGTTCTCCCATAAGAATTAATTATGTGAAATACATTGCATTTTATTTTTGTGCCCCACGGTGTTTGATCATAAGCATTTTGCTATTGTAAGCAATTGGAGTTTATATTTGATGTAGTAGATTAATGTACCATGATATTAAATATCTTGTACTTCATCAGATACTTTCAAACTCTACCACTGCAGGTTGTGTTCTCTACTGGCCCCCAGAGTACCGAAACACACTGGAAACAAACAATATTTCTATTGGAAAAGCCATTTTCAATTAAAGCAGGTAAGAAAGAAAAGAGTGGAGAGAAATGTCTTATTTTTTCTGAAGTATACAATATTCATTCATTCTACAACCACTTTTTATGTGCCCATTGTATTTGAAGTAGTGTAACAGATACTAAAATAAGATGTTCTTACTGTCTACATAAATTTTAGATGACATATCATTTCATTAAAAAGTTATTTATTATAATTTTTATTTAAGTTATTGGGGTGACTTTGTTTAATAAAGTTATACAGGTTTTCAGGTGTACAACTCAATAATGTATCATCTGTATATTGTATCATATGTTCACCACTCAGAGTCAAATCTCCTTCCTTTACCATTTATTCCCCCTTTATCCTCTTCTGCTTCCCCCTACCTCCCTTTTCCTCTGGCAATCACCATACTCTTGTCTGTGTGGTGGTTTTTGTTTCTTTCTTTGTGTATTTTTTAATCCCTTCACATTTTTCACCCAGCCCGGCAACACCCCTCCCTTCTGACAGCTGTCAACTGTTCTCTGTATCTGAGTCTGTTTCTATTTTGTTTGTTAGTTTACTTTGTTCATTAGGTTTCACATATAAGTGAAATCATATGGTATTTGTCTTTCTCTGACTGGCTTGCTTCACTTGGCATAATACTTTCCCGGTGCATCCATGCTGTTGCAAAAGGTAAAATTTCTTTTAAAGAAGTAACTGAAAGAAAACTTATATTTAAATCTTATTTCTGCTAGTTAAACTGTATGTTACATACTGTGTAGCTCTTATTTTGAGTACCAGAGAATAATTCAGAAAACTATTCTTTAAGAATTAACTAGTATTTACTAAGTTACAAATATAACAAAGAAAGTATTTTCATTTCCAAAATGACTGAGTAATATCACCAATAGCAGTAAAATAAAGAGAATTATTCAGTAGTTATTGTATTCAAAATATATTTGTCTAGAATGCTCTCCACTATTCTACCTCCTCAAATCCTACAGTGTTCAAGGACTGGTCACTTCTACATTTCTTTGTTATAGCTCATTGATTGTTTACTTATATGGGCACCGATAGTTCCTACATAATACACACTTAGCTCCAAAAGGTAGATTTTGATTATGAAACCTTTTGTAGTCATTTAAGCATTTATTACCTACGAGTCTTCTTGACCCACCTTTACTGTAGGAAAGTTTAATGTATAACAAACTTCAGTGAAAAGTTACTCAACATCACTAGTAACTCAGGGAAAGGATAATTAAACTGTAAGACACTGTTTCTTATTCATCACTATGGGGAAAAAGTACATAAAATATAACAAGACCAAGTGGTGGCAAGAATATAGACAAGTGTAACTTTTATACTCTTCTGTTGGTAGTCTTAATTGGTACACAACTGTAGAGAACAGTTAGATACCATCAAGTTAAGTATAGATGTACCATCCCTACAGCCACGGTTTTTTTCTTGGCATGTATTGTGAACAGTCTCTCCCACAGCCTGTGTACAAGAATTTTCACAACAGTATGGTTTCTAGAAGTGAAAAATCAGAAGCAGCCTTAATATGTCCATCAACAGAAGATAGATAAATATGGTAGTTGTGTATAATAAAATAAGGCAGATAAAATAAATCATATATGTGTATCTGTCAAAAGCAACATTGAGCCATGCCGGTGTGGCTCAGTCGATTGAGTGTCATCCCAAGGACTGAGAGGTCCCGGTTTGATTCCCAGTAAGGGCACATGCCTGGGTTGTAGGCTTGATCCCCAGTAGAGAGCGTTCAGGAGGCAGCCTATCAATGTCTCTCTCTTACATCAATATATCAGTGTTTCTATCTCTCCCTCTCCCTTACTTTCTCTCTTTTAAAAAAAGCAACTTTGAACAAAAAAAAGTTGCAGAATGATTTGTACAATATACCATTTATATGAATTTTAAAAACATACATATATACACACACAGTAAAAGTAAGAAGCAACACGAAAGAATGATAACCGCTGAATTCAGCGTAGTGCTTACCTTATCTTTGGGGAAGGATAGAAAAAAGATCAGGAAAGGCTATGAAGGAGGTTCAATGCCATGTATCTGAACTTGTTTTCTTAACTGAAGGAACTGTGGGAGAAGATTAGTATTTGACAAAACTGAGTAGTGGGTCCAAGGTAGTTATTATATTATTCTCTATATGTCTAAAATATTTCATAAAATTCTATAGTTTTGATTTCAGTGTTGTTGCATAAGTTGAATTCAGTAGATACAGGTAAACACTAGTAGAGTAAAGCAGCACCTTGTTATTTTTCACTTTGAGGTTGCAGTGCTATGGAAATAAAACCTTGCTGGTATCATTTTCCTTTTCTCCAGAAAGGTTGAGCAGAGCAAAACTAAAATGAGGCAAACACAAATAAAATCTTTTCACATTCTCATTTTTGGTTTGTTTTGTGTAGTTCTGGTATTTGGGTTGATATTTAGGAACTGAAAATGTTGCTTTTCTTCTTTACCATAATCATTTTGTGGCCCTATTGCTAAAAATTCAAAGGCATTAGTAATTCATATTTTAATCTTGAGGAAAATTTAAGATAGCATTTGAAAATTCTCCTACCTAATTACAGCAAAATATTATTTGATGTCTAGTGAAAATTTGAAATCCTAACTATTCTCTCCCTAGTAATCCTTAGAGTAATTGATTTGATTTTTTCAGAATACTATGAGGGAGGTGTGTGATCCAATGTTGCCCTCTGACACTATCTACGTTTCATATTTCCTTCACTGCCATATGTACTTGTATTTAAATAATAAGGGCAATGTATCATAAAGTAGCACATCCTGAAGAAGAATTTAAAAGGGAAATTTCAAAGTAGGAAAAATTTGGTTATTCTCAGCTATAGAAGTATAAAGAAAGAATAATGTAAGTACATAAATATATCATTACCTTCAACCCTGCTAAGCATCTGATAGTGTTACTAATGAATAGAAGGCAAAAATTGTGGGGCAGAATACTGAAGAGAGTACATGCTAATCAGAAAAAGCTCTAGAGATTTAGACAGAAGGTAGATTTGTCGAATTTTAGATGAATACCGGGGGTATATATGTAGGATGAAATGCCTGAGGTCAGGCAAAGTAGTTGGGGCAGTTGTGAACCAAACAGTTCTCAGAGTTGACACAGGGCTGTGGTATTCAAGTTTCAACCAGCTACAGTGGGGTGTCCCTATTGGACCCTATGTAGTAGAGATTCCAGAAGGGCTATAGCTTCATAATGGGAATAAACTATCCCTAGAGTAAAGACTACTCTGGATTCTGGATGCTGCTGCTGCTATTTTTTTTTTAGAGAGAGAGAGGAAGAGAAACATTGATTTGTTGTTGTTGTTGTTCCACTTAGTTATGCATTCATTGGTTGATTCTTGTTCTGTGTGTGCCCTGACCAGAGATCGAATCTGCAACCTTAGCATATGAGAACAACGCTCTGGCTAACTGAGCTACCTGGCCAGGGCTAGATGCTTGATGGAGCTTAAAAACAAGCCTTGAAAAGAAAAAAACTGAGCCATAAGTAATGTTAATGACAACAAAAGAAAACAACAACAGTTAGACACTCAACAACATAAAATTTATCATGGCCAGCATTCAAACAAACATTGATGCGGGAAAGTATCAATCAGTAGAAACAGACCCAGAAGTGATGAAATTAACAATCAGGCATGTGGAAACATATAAATACTATTATATGAACATAGGAGAATATGAGAAGATATTTAAAATCTAAATGGAACTTCTAGGGATAAAAATTACAGTACCTGAAGTTAAAATGTCAATTGATGGAATTAGTGGCAGAAGAAAAGATTGGTGAAATTGAAAATACAGCAATAAATGTATACAAAATGAAACAGCAAGGGGAAAAGATTTTTTGTGTTTTTTTAATGCATAGATCCAGTTACTTGTGGGAACATATGAAACACTCTAATTTATGGTTGTTGTCTTTTTGTATACCGATCTTAGAGAGGAAGGGAGAGGGAGAGAGAAACATTAATGGGCTGCCTCCTGCACAGCCCCTACTGGGGATCAAGCCTACAACCCTGGCATATGTCCTGACCAGGTATCAAACCGTGACCTTTTGATGCATGGGACAACACTCAGCCAACTGAGCCATACCAGCCAGTGCTGAAGCATTCTAATTTAAATGTAATTAAAGAAGTCCTTAGAAGAAGCAGGGACAGAAAATACATGTGACGAAGTAATAATGGCCATTTAAAAAATATTTGATAAAAATTATAATCCACAGATGGAATAAACTCAGTGAACCCCAAGTAAGATCAAAACAAAGAAAACACCAAAACACATCAAATGCTGATAGTGATAATTCTTTTAATCTTAACATTAAGTAGAGGAAAAGGAAACATAGAGGAATCAAAGAAAGAAGAACTTCAAAATAATCATTAGAAATTACATATGCCAGATGATGATCAAATGACATTTTCAAAGTACTATAAATAGTTAACCTAGATTCTATATCTAGGATAAATCTATTTCAAAAGTGAAGACTAAATAAAAACTTTTCCGGAAGAAAAATGCTGAAAGAATTCATCTCTAGCTGACCAGCAATACAAGATATATAAAGCCAGTTTCACAAGTGGAAGGAGAATACATACCACCAAGTGGAAACTTGGATCTAAACAAAGGAATGGAAAATGCCAGAAATGGTAGGTGTATAAGCACATAAAAAATGCCTTTATTATCTCATTTTTAAATTTTTCTTAAAAGATAATTGATGCCCTGGCCAGGTACCTTAGTTGGTTATAGAGTGTTGTCCCAATACACCAAGGTTGTGGGTTCGATGCCAAGTCAGAGCACATATGGGAATCAACCAATGAGTGCATAAATAAGTAGGACAAGTCAGTGTTTTTCTCTCTCTGTTTCTCTCTCTCCTCTTCCTCTCTCTCTAAAATCATTTTTTTAAAAAGATAATTGACTAAGGCAAAAATAACAAATAACATATTGTGGGCTTCAAAACATGGAGACAAAATATTTAGCAATAATAAAAAAGAAATTATGAAGTTCTTACAT